TTTATTGAGTTTTTTTTTCTCTTTAATAACTGTGCTATATTTATTGCAAATAAGGAATAAAAGGGATTATGTTTAATATTTTAAAATTAAATAAGGAATAAAGGGACTTGGTGATAACATTTTCAGTATGCAAATTGTTAAATTAGACGTCAAGAAATTTGTCAAGATTGATAATTAGATGTGAATTAAATGAAACAATGTGAAATATAATCAAATGATAATAATAAATCCTTAAATGATAGATAATAATAAAATGAAATAAAAATACTAGCATTTAGTAATACAATAATGAATGAAAATTAGAATTGGATGAGAAATTTAATTTCAACTTTATCATTTATGTTTATGATCTTTAGTGATCTTAGATATTTAATGTTATGATATTCTTGTTTTTGTTTTTGTTTTGTAAATTCTTTAAAATTCCTAAATTGTCTTTTAAGTTTTATCTTATACAAATTTAGTTTGCATAACATTTATTTGATTAATATTTAAAAGAGAATTGAAAAAAGTTTACAATAGTATTCGAATAATTTCTCTAAAATATTTACGTTGTAAAATACAGTCCAATATTTAAAAAAAAAAAAAAAATTGAAATTAAACATTGTATGAATGATTTGATTGGTAATTCATTTTTATGCAAATTTAAAAAAAAAAAAAAAAATGACAAACCGATTGCGCCGCGCTATTTGGTAAATTTCCCCAAATTGATGCAATCGGTGATGCATGTAGTAAATTTAACAGGAGTGAAATTAATGCTGTAATAATTAATTAATTATTAATTGTTTCATTTCATTTTATTTTAAAAATATTTCTTTTTATGAAAATAGTTTAATCGATTGAATTAGTTAATGAATTTAAAATAGTTAAATAATAATTTAGTTTATTCATTTTTTTTTTTTCATTTTGTTAAGTTTTTTTAGATAAGTTTAAAAAAAGTGTGAAATATTTTTTTTTTTTTTTTGTAGAATAAGTGAACGACGATAATGCTTGCAGAATAAATATTGAATTTAAAACTAAATTAAAGTTATTTAAATTTTATATTCTTATTTAAACAATTTAGGAGTATCTTTTAACTGATCGATAAAAGCCAAAAGAAAGAATTTAAAATAAATTAAATTGAACTTGATAAGATCATATCTCATGGAAATATGTTATCAGTTATAAAAATGTATAATTTGTGATATTAATTTTAATTAATTATTAATGCTAATTTTAATTAATTATTAATGATGTAACAAATTGAAGGAAGTAAAATTCATAAACTATTTTTATCAATATCATATCAAATCTTATTTATACTCTAAAAGCATCCAATCAAAATCATCCAGATAGTAAACTATTTTGAATTAAAGTTTTTTTTTTTTCAATTAAAGTATAATTTTTCTGTATTTTTTTTTGTTTGGAAATTAATACTATGAAAGAAGCTCAAAACTAAGTGAAATTAAATCACTGAAATCAAAAATACGCAAAAACTTATTAAAATTAAAACAAAAAAAATTTGAAATTAAAAGTACCCAAAAAAAGTTACAAAAGAAAAGTTAAAAAAATAAGCAAAAAACTCATTGAAATTAAAAAAAAACACAAAAACTTATAAAAGAGAAACTAAAAAATAAACAAAAAAATTATTGAAATTTCAAAAAAAAAACGCAAAAACTTGTGAAAACAAATAAAAAATGAAAAAAAAACTTATTAAAATTAAAAATAAACAAAAACTTGTGAAAATTAAAAAAAGACACAAAAATTTATTGAATTTAAAAATAAAAATTTATTGAAATTAAAAATAAGCAAAAAACTTGAAATTAAAAATACCCGAAAAATTACAAAAACAAAAATTAAAAAATAAGCAAAAATTCGTTGAAATTATAAATAAACAAAAAACTTATTAAAATTAAAAATAAACACAAAACAGATTAAATATTTATGCAATATTTGATAGACCAATTGAATTGCATTAAAAAATAAAATGAATGAATAAATGTTAATAAATTAAAAATTTTCATTGTTAATAAATTAAGAATTACTTTCATTTAATTACTTTTTCCTTTTTTGCTGTTAAATTTATTAATAATTTAAAATTGAAATAGAAATTGAGAAATTATTATTAATTAAAATAATTTATAACATACCAAATGAAAATATTTGCTTCATTTTTTGAGTTGAATTGATAATGAAAGCTAGCAATGTTAATAATATTTATTCATATAATATTAATAAATATAAAATTCTATCAGAAATAAAAAAATGAAATTCATTTTTCTTTTTTTTTTCAAAAAATAAAATCTATGCTCCACCCTTTCCTCAATATTTCATTTTTCATTGTTATTTATTTAATTTCTTGATAAGATCAATCAATCAAATTGATATATTATTAGATTTAACCTCTCTTATATTCATCAAAATTATTTATTTCTTCAAATAAAACCAAAATAAAAAAAAAAAAAGTTTATTAATTTATAAAATAAACCTTCAATTTTCTCAATTTCAAAAATAAATTTTAACAAATAGCAATAATATAAATGTTTCATTTATATCTCTCTTTCTTTCTTTCTTTTCCCCTCTCTCTCTCTCTCTCTTGTAAATAAATATTTACTAAAAATAAATTGTTTATTTATTCATAGATTTATTTATATGAATTTCTTATAATTTTTTTTCTCTTTTTTTTTTGCAAAATTATAAATTAAAAAAGAATAACAAATTTATTCACTAAGATATAGGTGAGATGAAACTATGTTTAAATATTTTTTTAAATATTAATAATTTTTTTTTCTTTTTATTATTTTATAAATTACAAAATAATTAGAAATGAAAAATAAGAAAATAATTTTTAATTATTTTCTAATTAAAAATGATATATTTTTTTAAAAAAAAATTTTTGTAATTCAATATGTAAAATACGTATTGGAGGTAATGTAGTGTACAGGTATGTATGTACAGTAATTATGTACCATTTAATATTAGATGACGCATGTATGCAAGTGATTCAGTACGTATTATGCATTTAGTAATTGTGTACAGTGTAGGTACGGTACGTACGTATGCATTTAGTGATTACCTGTACAGGTAGGTACGTATGTATGCATTTAATAATTACCTGTGTTGGTAGGTACGTGTGTATGAATTTAGTAATTACCTGTACAGGTAGGTACGTATGTACGCATTTAATAATTACCTGCACAGGTAGGTATGACACGTATGTACGCATTTAATAATTACCTGCACAGATATGTATGCATTTAGTAATTACCTGCACATGTACATTTAATAATTACCTGCATGGTATACGCGTATGCATTTAGTGATTACCTGTACAGGTGGGTACGTATGTATGCATTTAGTAATTACCTGTACAGGTAGGTACGTATGTACGCATTTAATAATTACCTGCACAGGTAGGTATGTATGTATGCACAGATATGCATGTATGCATCTAGTGATTACCTGTACAGGTGGGTACGTGTGTAATTACCTGCACAAGGTATGGTATGCATTTACCTGGGTACGGTACGTACGTATGCATTTAGTGATTACCTGTACAGGTGGGTACGTATGTATGCATTTAATAATTACCTGCACAGGTAGGTATGTATGTATGCATTTAATAATTACCTGCACAGGTAGGTACGGCACGTATGTATGCATTTAGTAATTACCTGCACAGGTAGATATGTATGTATGCATTTAGTATATGAAAATGCAATCTGTAGTAATTATCTATGATAAATATGGTTATAAAATTTAAATTATGCTTCAAATCAATTAAAAATTTCAAATATTTTAATTGAAAATTTTAATTATTTAAAGATATAATTCTATTTTTTCTTTCCTCACATATTTTTCTTCTTTCATTATTATTTGTCAAATGAAGCAAACAATTTTAAAATTAATTTCAATCCTTCACTTTATTTTTCTTCTTTTCAAAACGACGAAATAATTAGACTAATAAGAGATAACTTTGCTATGACAAAAAAAAAAAAAAGAAGGAAAAATCAGATTACATATCTTTGATAATATTTACTTCATTTCTAATTGGCATTTCTACTTTTTAAGCAGTAATTATATTTAAAAAATAAAATGTAGCACTTGATGATAGTATTATCATAAATTGATTAAACTGATTAAATGATTAAAAGAGGAAAAGGTTAAAAAGTTTTAATCAATTGATCACCTAAACATTGACCAAAAAAAAATTTAATTAAATATTAAATGCCACTCTGATAAAAAAATCATAATTAAAAGTGAAAAGAAAGAAAAAAAAATGAAATTTTTACGAAATTAATGAATTTAATATAATTATAAAATTTTCAATCAATTTTATTTCGAAAAAATAAAAACAAAATTTTCATAGCATAACAAAATTTTTTTATCTTCAAAGTACGAAATTATCAGTTTATTATAATAATGAAAATTAAACTAAATGGAGCGCAAATGACCTGAATCAACAAAGATGCTATCTAAATGCGCATTTAAATAAACTTGAAAATTTTAAATTGGTAGAAGAGAAAAAATGATTAATTATTTTTTAGATGTATACATGAAAAATTTTTTTAAATTATAATCTGCAAAAATCTCTCTCTCTCTCTCTCTCTCTCTCTCTCTTTCCCTCTCATCTTCTTGTTATTAATGAACGAACGGAAGAATAAAAGTATTTTATACTGAATAAACAATAGGCATTTTTTTTTTATTTTTGTTTTTCAAATATACAAATTTAACCAAATAAAACAAACAAACAAAATTTGAAAAAAAATAAAATTCAAAAAAATTTGTTAACAAATAATATTTTAATTCTTTCTTTTTTTTTTGATTATTTTTGATTTTTTCATCAACAAATTACAACCAAATGAGAAAAATTAATTATTATTTAATTAATTTAAGATTTATTATTATTACTATTTTTTTTCAAATTTAGCATAAAAATTACATTAAATGATATTAAAATTTTAAAAGATAATAAAATAAATGAATTTATTTTATGAATTCGTTTTTTTTTTTTAATTTTATTTTCAAATATATTGCAAAAGTTGTAAATTAAATTCTTGTAAAGCAATTAAAAGTTGCTCAGTTGTCGGACGATCTCGACAATCAAGTTGCCAACAACAATACATCAAACCATATCTGTAAAAATATTTCATTTATTATTAATTAATAACAAAATTGATAATTAAACAAAGAAATAAAATAAATTTTTAATTCATTTAAAATTTTTAAAAGTTTTTAAATTTTAATTGGATTAGTTACTAATTTATTATTGCAAATAATCATAAAAGATATATTTGCTATGATAGAAATAAGATAAATTTTTAATTCACATAAAATTTTAATCGAAGAAAAAAATTTTTAATTTTTTTCTTTTTTAAATTTTAATTGGATTAGTTACTAATTTATTATTAATTTATTATTGCAAATAATCATTAATTTGCCATGATAAATGCTTCATTTTTTTTTAATTTTTAAATAAATTAGCGGTTACAATTATATGTAAAAATTCAAATTTAAAATGCATTAAAAAAAATTCAATTCAATTTTTAAATAATAATGCATTTAAATTTTTAATAAACTAATCATCAAAGAAGTAACATTCATTAATTTTATTATTGTAAATATGAAAGGATTATAATAAAAATGAAAGAAATTGTAATATATAATTTAATTTTCTTTTTTTTTCAAAAAAAAAAAAATTTTTTTTTATAAAATGTATGCTGTTTGAGTATTATTAGAAATTAATAATATATGCATTCAAAATTTTATATTTAAATTTATAAAATTTTTTTTTTAAAAAAAAAAGAAATAACTCAAAACGCTATGTTATTCAGTATAAAATAATTTAAATTTAACAATTCAAATATGTTGTCTTTTTTTTTTTTAAAAAAAAATAATGTTCAAGTATTTAGCAAAGAAATAAATCATCGATCGATAGATATAAAAAATAAAATTTTGATAAAAGTTTAAGTAAAGTTATCAATAAGTAAATGAAAAAATATAAGTTAGAGTTAAAAGAAATCAAATAAATCAATTCAATAATTTGAAATGGAATATTATTAATATAAAATTGTGAATAATTTTAAAAATTTTACAAACGATTAATTATTTTAATTTTTTACTATGCTAGAAAAAAGTTTAAAATTAATGAAATATACATGAAATTCAAAAAAAAAAGAAAAAAAAACATAAATAAATTTTCCGGACAAAAAAAACGAAAAATTTACAATTCATCTGGACAACTGTATGGTTGTGATAATCGTTTACCACATTCCAGATATGTAGCCATCTCATCCGGATCAATTTCCGGATACGGTTGTTGCCCACAAGTTAGCAATTCCCATAATGTTACACCAAATGACCACTAAAAACAAACAATTTCAAACATTTTTATTGTTTTCAAAAAAAAAAAAAAAAAGGAAAAATTTTTTAAAATAAATTTCATTTTTTAATTCTTCAATTATTGCTTTATTTGACTATAATTTCAGTCTTATTTTAATTAAAAAAAAGAAAAAGAAAAAAAATAAACAGAAAGGTAAACAATGCTTATTAACCCATTGAAAAGAAAAGGTAAACAAAATATGTATTATACAGGTAAATAAATTAATACAGGTAACTAACAACATCTGTTGAACTATTAAATGAATTATGAACTAATGATTCATATGCCATCCATTTCATTGGTCTATTTTCATTATCACCCAAACAATGATAATCATTTGGGAAGAAATCTTTACTTAGAGCAGAATCACAAATTTGTACAAATAGATTATCACGATTATGAATTTTAGATACAAGACAATTCCTGAAAAAAAAAATACAAAATTAAAATTAAAATTAAATTTTTAAATTATGATATAAAATAAATTTAATTATCTCATTTATAATCATTGTTTAAATTGAAAATAAATAAATAATAGTAATAATAAATGTATCAATCATATCGTTTGAATAATTTTTATTTAAAAAAAAAAATTTTTACTGATTTATTTTTTATTTAATATTAAAAACTTATGAAAATTTCAATTTTTATTTAATTTTTAATCATATTATGTTATTAGATTGTAACAATCTTAGCTTATTAATATGCTAATAATTTTTAATAATAATATTACTATCACATTTTAATAATAATATTTGATAATAGTGATATTACTATCATATCTTAATAATAATATTTTATAATAATAATAATAATAATAAAAATAATAATATTACTATCACATTTTAATAATTTAATAATAGTATTACTATCACATTTTAATAATATTTGATAATAATGATATAATTATCATATCTTAATAATAATATTTTATAATAACAATAGTATTACGATCACACTTTAATAATAATATTTAATAATAATAATATTACGATCACATTTTAATAATAATATTTGATAATAGTGATATTACTATCATATCTTAATAATAATAATATTACGATCACATTTTAATAATAATATTTAATAATAATAATAATATTAATATCACATTTATTCATTCAAATTCATAGTTTAAATAATCTAAATGAATGACATAAAGCTAATTAAGCATTACATAAAGCATGTAAAAAAAATAAATAAATAAACAATAGCTTTTAATAAATTTCTACAAACAAATTTTTCTCAAATTTTAAATTAACAAAATTAATAAATTCAAAAAATAAATTTCAAAAAAGCAAAAAAAAAAAATTAAAATTAAATTTATTTACACCCTACCTTGTTGCAATATCTTTATGAATAATACCAAAATGATGTAAATGTATCACAGCATTTAAAATTTGTAAAGCCATCGAAACGATTTCTTGCGCACGAAGCGTTTGTATTCCAGTATTATCTGTAAAATAAAATTTTAAATTATTTTTAATAAAAAATTTAAGCCATAAAAAAAATTGTCTTTTTTTTTCATCAAAATTAAAAAATGGGTTAATTAAAAAAAAAATGAATAATTTGTCGAAAATAATTATTATAGAATTAATTCATTGATAATAAATTATTTTCAATTATAATAGTATATGAGTTATTTATATATTTCATAAATTTTCTTAAAAAAAAAAAGATTTAAAAGAAAAACAAAAATTGATGAAAAATATATGAATGATAATATTTTATCACAAAAAAAGATTTTTGTAAAGTTTCAATGAATAAATTAGTACCAAAAAATGATAATTTTATCATTATAAATAGTAATTAAATTATAATTAGGATTGAATTTGAAAAATTTAATTATTTTTGATGAAAATTTTTATTGTTTTATTTCTGAAAAAAAAATAATTTATCAATGATTGTTATAAAACTAAAAATTTTTACTTCGATTTCTAAATTGTGTATTTACTTCACCATTTCGACAGCTAATGAGAAATTTTTTTAAATTACCAAAACCATCATGCGAATAACATACAAATGGAAAATCAGTTTCCTGTTCCGGATCAGTAAAACGGTTGCATGATGCTATTGCAACCACCTGAAAATTTTTCTGTTTCAAAATAAATAAAGAATAAGGAATATTAAATAATAAGTACTAAATAAGAGGAAATGATAATAAACAATAAATAATGCAAAAATAGTAATAGTAATAACAATAATAATAATAATAATAATAATAATAATAATAATAATAATAATAATAATAATAATAATAATAATAATAATAATAATAATAATAATAATAATAATAATAATAATAATAATAATAATAGTAACAATAATAATAATAAACTAATAAACAATGAAAATGAAAAAAATAAACAATAAACAATAATATGAATTTTCATGAATTCAAATTAAAATTATAAACAAATTATATAAAAAATAGCATTAAACATACTTTTGCTAAATTCTCGTGTTGTTTTACATTAAAAAATGCTAAAACTTTTGTTTCAAAATAAAAAAATACGCAATAAAAAATAAACTATAAAATTAGAAATAATAAATAATAACTAAATAAGTACAAATGATAATAAATAACAAATAATACATAATAGTAATAATAATAATAAACTAATAAACAATGAAAAAAAATAAACAATAAACAATAATATGAATTTTCATCAATTCAAATTAAAATTATAAACAAATTATGAAAAAAAAGAATAGCATTAAACCATACTTTTGCTAAATTCTCGTGTTGTTTTACATTAAAAAATGCTAAAGCTTTTGTTTCAAAAAAAAAAAAATACGAAATAAAAAATAAACTATAAAATAAGAAATAATAAATAATAACTAAATAAGTGCAAATGATAATAAATAACAAATAATACATAACAGTAATAATAATAATAATAATAATAATAATAATAATAATAATAATAATAATAATAATAATAATAATAATAATAATAATAATAATAATAATAATAATAATAATAATAATAATAAACTAATAAACAATGAAACAAATAAATAATAAACAATATGCGTTTCTATCAATTCAAATTAAAATTATAAACAAATTATAAAAAAAAATTAGCATTAAAGCATACTTTTGCTAAATTCTCGTGTTGTTTTACATTAAAAAATGCTAATGCTTCTTCCAGAAATTTCCTCACATATCGTTTATCAGCTGTAAATTTCAATCGTTTTAAAATTATTCGCTCTTCAAAGCATACATTATCTTCTTCATCATCAACATCACCAATAATATCATCAATATTTCTTCTCCATAAAGCCCATTTCATTTCTCCAAATGTACCTTCAAGCGCTTCTGCCGAAAGAATCTTTAAAAAAAAAAGATGAAAATGAAAAAGTAATTTTTATTGTGAGAAGAAAAAAATTTTTTTTTTTAAAAAATATAAGAAAAGTAATATATGAATGAAAAAATTATTTTCAACAAAAGTAATATTATTAAAAAGAAAAAAAAATAAATAATAATAATACTAAAAATTTTAAATTTTAAATTAAAAAAATGAAAATTCTCCAAAGAAAAAAAGAAAAAAAAACATTTTAGAATTTTAAAGGGAGGAAAAAGAAAAATTTTAATTTAATGATATAAATTTTTGAAATCATTAATAAAATATTTAAATAAAATTCTTTCAATAGTAATATTAATGATATAGAAGTAATAATAAATACTAGAAATTTTAAATTTTAACCTAAAAGAATGAAAATTCTCCGAAAAAGAAGAGAAAAAAGAAAAAGTTTAATTTAATGTTATAAACTTTTGAAATCATTAATAAAATATTTAAATAAAATTCTATCAATAGTAATATTAATGATACAAAAGTAAATAATAAATACTAGAAATTTTAAATTTTAAATTAAAAAAATGAAAATTCTCCAAAAAAAAGAAAAAAAAAACATTTTAGAATTTTAGAGGGAGGAAAAAGAAAAAGTTTAATTTAATGTTATAAATTTTTGAATTGTTATAAATTAATTAAAATATTTAAATAAAATTCTATCAATAGTAATATTAATGATACAAAAGTAAATAATAAATACTAGAAATTTTAAATTTTAAATTAAAAAAATGAAAATTCTCCAAAAAAAGAAAAAAAACATTTTAGAATTTTAGAGGGAGGAAAAAGAAAAAGTTTAATTTAATGTTATAAATTTTTGAATTGTTATAAATTAATTGAAATATTTAAATAAAATTCTATGAATAGTATTATTAATGATAAATTTTTACCTCAAAAAAATTTCGATCAGCGTATAATTCCACAAATGCTTTTTTCAAATTAATTATTTGTAATTTTTCATGAATTATTACAGGAACAATGTTACGGGTAAATGATGAACATGGCTCATTTGAATCGATATAATCTATAAGTAAAAAAAAAAATTAAAATATATTATTTAAGTATATGTGTAAAAAAAAATTAACAAAAATAATTTTAATAATATATAATTTTAAATGTTTAATCAAAAATTTATTATGCAAATTTTTTTAAATATATATTTTAATAATGTATAATCAAAAAAAAAAAATGATTTTAATAAAATTAATAAAAATAACAAAAAAAAAAAATGATAATAGTGATTATTTTTGTCTATAATAAATAAATTGATGATAAGTGATAATAACTGATAATAATGATATAAGCAATTATAATTATTATGCAAATTTTTTTAAATATATATTTTAATAATGTATAATAAAAAAAAATGATTTTAATAAAATTAATAAAAATAACAAAAAGAAAAAAAATGATAATAGCGATTATTTCTGTCTATAATAAATAAATTGATGATAAGTGATAATAACTGATAATAATGATATAAGCAATTATAATTATTGAAAATAAGTGCTACAAAAAAAAAGAAAAAAATTCATAAAAATACCTTTTATAACATTTTTAGACATTAATGGATATGTTACCGGTAAATTAGTTGATGTTTTTTCTGGTAAATTTTGAGATTTTCTAAAAAAGAAAAAATTTTAAAAATAAAAAAAAAACTTTTTTTTTTTTTTTTGAAAATTATTTCTGATATTTTAATTAGATATTTAAGTAAAATATCTATTCAATAATTAATTAACTTATTTACAATTTACTACAAAAAGAAAAGAATTAAATGATACTTTTATATAATTACTGCTTATTAAGCAAATTTAACAATTTAAATTTGTATTTATTAATTTTTACATATAATATGAAAAAATTAATTGTAAAAATTAATTCCAATATTTAAAAAAAAAAAAACAATTAAAATTTACTTACTGAATCCAAAATTGAAGTGGTTGAGTAACAGAAGTAGATGTTGATTTTTTAATGGAACGATAATAAATAAAAATTAATACAGCAATAACTAAAACAATTGCGCCCACAGATCCTATTATTAGGTAGAATATATTCTCTGCCGACATTAGCGCCACTGCAATATGATAATTTTTTTCTTTTTTTTTAAATTATTAAAATGATAATAACAAATATTAGGATTACTTTATAGAATATACATTGATAACATAAATAAATTCCTATATAAAATATCTCAAATTAAATATTAATTAAGTTATGATAATTGATAAATTATTTTTGAAAAATTTAAATTTAAAATTAATTCATGTATTAAATAGAACAGAAATAAGAATTAAAATAGTATAAAGAAATTTTAAGATATTTAAACAGAAAGCAAAAAAAAAAAGAAAAGATTATCGATAGAATAGAGAAATATGACTGTCATTTAATTAGGTTAATTAGGATAGCAGTAAAGAATTACAATTGATTGAAAATCATATTTAAATCTTTGATCTGATATCAATTGATAAATAAAAAAAAAAAACTAGAAATGATCTTGGAATAAATTTTTAACAAAATTATCTTAATTAGAATAAGCTAATTAGCTAATATTTATTTGTTGTCAAACATGTCATTCATTTAGTTAATCTGTCATTAGTTAAAAATTAATTTTTAATAATTTCAAAAAAACTAGAAATGATCTTGGAATAAATTTTTAACAAAATTATCTTAATTAGAATAAGCTAATTAGCTAATATTTATTTGTTGTCAAACATGTCATTCATTTAGTTAATCTGTCATTAGTTAAAAATTAATTTTTTAATAATTTTAAAAATTTAAAAAAATTATCATTAGTCTGCTAATATTTATTTGTTGTCAAACATGTCATTCATTTAGTTAATCTATCATTAGTTAAAAATTAATTTTTTAATAATTTTAAAAATTTAAAAAGGTTACCATTTCATTTCCTAATTCATCATAATTACCAATATTACCTGAAAATTTGAATATTACCAACAAATTTTTTGCATAATATTTCAAAATTTTAAAATTATCTAATTAGAATATAAGAATTGTTTGCGTTTTCAAAAATTTAAAAATGTAAACATACAAAAGTAAACAATAAACAAACAATAAGTTATAATAACATTTTTTTTTTGAGAGAGAGAGAGAGAGAGAGACTATCGTAATATTTTGCTAGCTACCATATGTGATTAATTATTTGAAAAAGATTAGCTTTAAATGGTTAAATTTCAAATTTCCATTTCAAATGAAAATTAAATTTGTGTCGTAAAGAAAAGGAAGAATGATAAATAAAGGACTAATTAGTAGTAGTGGCGGAAAGATTAAAACAAATGGATAACGTTTTTTTTTTTTCAAACATTATTATCATCCATTTTACGATAAGCCTAAGGCTATAATAAAAAAAAAAGATCTTTTTTTTTTTATGATCATCATTTTCTTTTTCCGTTTAAAATTTATTGAAATTTCAAAAAAAAAAAAAAAAGAAGAAAGAAAAACTTTAACAAAAATTTTCTTTATGATAGCTACTGATATGAGAAAAGCATTAAATGATTATTATTAGCCTTAGTAATAACTTTTTGAGATGTAGTTTATAGTTTATATTATTATTTCTATTTTTTTTTTTACTGAAGTTAAAAGGTATTTCCGTTTTTTTTTTTTGAAGTTAAAAGGTATTTCCGTTTTTTTTTTTTTTTTTTATTAAGTTAAAAGGTATTTCTTTTTTTTTTTTTTTTTGTTGTTTAAAGTATAACATTTAAAAAAATTGGTAAAGTGATAATAAAATTTTTTTTTGTTGTTTGATAATAAAATATAATAATATTTAGCAGAATTGAAATTCAAAAAAATAAAAATAAATAAAACAAAATAAGCTAAACTATTTTGTGCTAATATATTCAATGTTTTTTTTTAAAGTTTCTTTATTCTAATTAAGAAAGCTAGCTACTCAGTTCTAATTATTGATATAAATTATTCAGCTTTAATTAAGATAAACTATTAATTTGTTATCAACTATCTATGATATGTGATAAGCTTCTAAAAGTTTGTTATATAACATTTAATTATTGAAATATCATCACATAAATATAATAATAATTCATCTTATAAAATAATAATTTAATAAATGAAATGCAAAAAAAATTGAAAAATTTAAATAAATTAATTAATTAATGTAATAATTTATCAATTAATATAATAATTTAATAAAAATTCAATGTCATCAATTAATATAATAATATAATATTTTAATAAAAATAGGCTATTTTTATTTTTGATATTATTTTATAAGCAATCTTAATGACAACTATTACTAGTGAATTAGTTAGCCAAATTTGAAAATAAGTAATAGGTAATAATAGCGTTTCATAAGTAATAAGTAATAATCAGAAATGAATTTCAAAAATTAAATAAATAAATAAATAAAAATAAGTTAATTTCAGTTTTTTTAGGCAGCTCCATACTCCTCATCAATCTTATCTTAATACAATAAAACGAAGAGAAAAACTTAAAAAATATGTGTATTAAATCAGTGGTGCGCTTTTGTTCGATTAAAAATTAACAACATTTTGCGCCAATATACTGCCTATTAGAGCTTTCAAAATGACAAAAAAAAAAAAATTTTGATAATTTCAACAAAAATTAAATTCGATTATAGTAAATTTTAAATCTATGCTAAAATTTGATTATAAATTATTCATAATAAACATTTCTACTGATACAATGATACATCATTAAAAGTTGTCACCTTGAGTGAGATAGATGACAATATGATTTCTTGGAAAAGAAAAAAAAAGATTTTTTTTTTTGGAATTAGAAAAAGAAGGAAGTAATATCATTTAATTGAAAAATCAAAAAGAAAAAAAAAAGAAAAGAAATTAAAAGAAGATGAAAAGAAAGGGATTAATAGTTTTTTAAAAAAAAAAAAAGTATAAAGAAGAGAAAGAGAAAAAAGAAAGAAAGAAAGAAAGTATTATAAGTTAAAATGTATAATAATAATAATTCTTTCAATAATGTCAAAAGGATATAATTTTATTTTGAAAGGAAAAAGAAAACAAAAAAAAAAAAAAAAACAAAAAAAGAAGAGAAAAAGGATTCAAAACCTTTGCTTTTAAAATCTTTTTTACTTCTCTTTTCTTTCTTCCATACAAAAATTCTTTTTATCTATTCTCTCTTTCTCTTTAATTTCTCCCTCTCTCTCTCTCTCTTTTAGTAAAGAGTTAAACTTCCTCAGTAATAGGACAATAAAATGTTTCGAAGCGGCAATTACAAAGGGTTCTTTTACCAAAAAATTTTACCACACCGATTTCGTCGTCCCTTCGTTTAGATACATTACCAACTAACCAATATATTTTACATTTATGGTACCTTATATTTGTGGTACCCTACATTTATAGCACCTTACATTTGTGGTACCTTGCATTTATGTTACCTTACATTTATGATACTTTACATCTATAATACCTTACATTTATGTACCGTACATTAATAGTACCCTACATCTATACTACCTTACATTTATAGCACCTTAGATTTATGGTACCTTACACTTGTAAAACCTCACATTTATAGTACCTTACATTAATAGTACCCCACATATACAGTTACATTATAGTACCTTATATATTATTTATGTACCCTACATTTAATACTTTACATTTATGGTACCGTACATTGATAGTACCCCACATACATAGTACCTTACATTTATAGTACCTTACATTTATAGTACCTTACATTGATAGTACCCTACATTTATATTACTTTACATTTATGGTACCGTACATTGATAGTGCCCTACATTTATAGTACCTTACATTTATGGTACCGTACACTGATAGTACCCTAAATTTAATTACTTTACATTTATGGTACCGTATATTGATAGTACCCCACATATACAGTACCTTACATTTATGGTACCGTACATTGATAGTACCCTACATTTATATTACTTTACATTTATGGTACCGTATATTGATAGTACCCCACATATACAGTACCTTACATTTATGGTACCGTACATTGATAGTACCCTAAATTTATAATACCTTACATTTGTGGCATCTTGCATTTATAGTACCTTACATTTAATGGTACCTTACATTTATGGTACTTATATAATATAAATATATGTAAGTTCAATTTTTTCCTCACCTTTATTTACATTTTTTTTTTCATTTACAATAGATAAATATTATTGTATTTCAAAAATAAGAGAAAAAAAGATGAAAATTTCAATAATTAATGTTAAATTTCATTAATTGATAAAATATTTCAATAATGGATGTTAAATATTATAAAATACATTAAAAATAATTTTTTAATTAAGTTAAAAAAAATTAAATTTTAATTAAATTAAAAAAAATGATTGATTGTAGCTAAATTAAGTACTTTTGCAACATATTTTTTTTTAACTCTATTCACATTCGTAAACAGTTAAAATTGATAAGAAAACAATGAAAAAAAAAATCAAAGAATGTAAATTTTAAAGATTTAAAGAACTTAATTTATCATATTTAAATGATGTAATAAAATATGTGGAAAAATATAGCATTACGAAAAAATTCTAGCGTACGTGACCTGATATTCATTTCATTTATGCATTTTTATTTTAAATTAGAAAAATTTTTTATCACATTTTAGTGATGCAATTGAATTAATTTTGTGAATGTTGATTGTTTCTTTATTAATACGCACATTATTAAAATATTTCAAATAAATTAAATTAATTAAAAGATAAACATTTCTTTTTTATCCTTTAATTTTAATCAATTACAAATTAATTAATTAGTTATATGTCATTATCTTTGTTGTTATTGTTGTTGTTTTTGTTTACAATTAAGCAACATTGATAAATATGTGTATAACAGTATAGCTAAATGTTTTTCAACATTTTTCTATCCTTATTATTGTTTACACTTTTATTTATTTGATTAATTAATTAATTTAAAAATAAATTTAAAAATAATATTTCCATTGTATGCCAGCAATTGATATATTTATGTAACACATATACGTAAATATATTTTTTGAAATAAATTTAATCGAAATACTTTACTGAATTACTTACCGACGTAAGTACCACTACACGTAAATATATTAAGTAAGA